AAATATATATTTTATATATATTATATATATATATGTAAAAGCATTGAGTCTGAAAAAGTATGCCTATCAAGCCATCAACTGTTAGCATTCCCAACAAAAAGACACTCACCTCATATATAATGAAAAACATTAACAATCTTCAGTTAAAGGGCAGGGTTCACAGATCTCTTCAGACATCTAGGATGAAGTCTATTATGTCCCTTATCAGCATTCAAAAACTTGTTAAGGAAAGAAACTGCCTCAAAATTACACAAGAGCGATCCAATTGGAAAGATCAGTGCTTATAACAATTCCTTTGACAGGTATGCAAGTGACAAAATGTTCCAGTTGCAGGAAGATGAAAGAATAAAGAGACCCATCACTACAGGCTAAACTTCAAAACTAAGCAGTAAAGATAGAAAAGGTGAGAGAAGCTTTTAAGAGAAACAGTGCCCACCAATGGGGAAGAACAGTGGGAAATTCATTCTAGGTTTTTGGAGAAGACCTTACTACTGTGAATTTTTAAATTAAGTAGTGTTGAGTAACAGAAAAAAACCTCTACAAAATTATTCTTCCTTTAGACTGCAACTGCTTGCTTTATTTTTAAAATCATGTAGAACATTCACACTATGTAAGAAACTGTGTAATTGTGTGACAATTACTTAAATACAAAGAAAATCAAAGACAAATAACTAAAATATCTGAATTAAAAACAACAAAATACTGACAAGCATTCATACGTAGCACTTTTAACTCAATGCTCAAATATACAAGCTTTACAAAAAGGTGTGCTGCTACCAGCCTTGTTTATTTTCCTCACTCGAAGCTGTAAAACATATGACCTTCACTACTGTGTGGAAACTCATTTTATCTAATGCTTTTAAAGACTTCTTTACAATAATAGCTTTGAGCAAGGGAAAACAAAAACAAATCCACAAGCAAGCCACCACAAAAAACCAAACTACCCCATACACTTATTGGTCCATTCCTCTCTGAGCACAGGTCAAGCAAAGGCTGTGGAGACAAGAAAAATTACATATGTTGTTCCTTCAGACACTACAGACATTTATTTTCTATTGGTTTAGGAAGGAGATGTACATCCAGTTCAGTAGATACTGAATAGCAGGGAAGTCAGGTGATAATGATTTTGCTTTCAGAGGTAAAAAATTAAATAAGTATTTACATATAAACCAATGCTCTACAGAAACCTGATTAGAAAATTCTATTTCTTTATGGGATATCCGTTTAACAGAAAAAAAAACCGAACAACTCATCTATGGTGAAGTCAGCATTGTTCTACCGCAGCATGTACGGCCAATGTCTTTCAGTTCTTTGCACAGCTTTTGCATCCAGAGCATTACAAGTTTCTCATGCATCATTCTCCTGCAGTTAAACTTCCTTTCACACTTTTCTGTGAAAAGAAGCCATCCTCAATTCAAGAGCAGTCACTTTTGTGTCCAGTGCCTTTAATACAGTATCCGCCTGTAAAGTAAGTGGGGAAAGACACTTGGTTGTAAACAGAACTTGACAACACGAAGAGCAAGTATAAATGTCAGTAAGTGCTCAAATTTGATCTTGCATCCCCAACCCTATTTGATTCTATTCCTGCTACTTTCAGTTTGGAAGTTGACTGAACTCTAACATTAATTCTCCACACCTTCTCAAGTCTGAAATTGTCTCCAATCTTGGTAAGCATCAGAGCCACTGCCCTGGTTTCACTGGGATGGAATCATAGGATCAGTTCTCTATTCAGGAAAACTGTGCTTCTGCAAAGACTGCTATTCTCGATTTCATGTTTTAGTTTTCAGTTGGCTCAGGTATGCAGTGATCAGGGTCTTCAGTAGTTTCAAGTTAACCAGGTACAGAAGCTGAGGGGAGTGAAAACCAGGGCAGCTGACCTCAAGCTGACCAACAAAATTATTTCACACCATAAACACCAGTCACTATAAACTGGGGAGTTTGCTGGGGACAGCCCTCTTTCCTCAATGGCCGTTTCAGGAAGATCTCATCCATCATTCTACCTCTGAGGCCTACTCCCCTGCGTGTGACCATCATAGCTTATGAACACTAAATCAGCTGAGTATAACTCCCTGTACTTTATGTTAATACTGGGTTTTATTATTATTTTGTTAAATCTGTTTCTATTTCAACCCACAAGTCTCCTTTCCTTTGCTTGATTCCCCTCTCCAGGTGGGGAGCAGTCATCAGGTGCTAACATACCCATCTAAACAACATCATCCACACATTCAGCTATTTGCTAGAAAACCATCAGCTTTCATTATGCTATTTGCTACCAGCTCTCCCTACTTGCAGTCAGAAGTTTTCAGTAGAGCAAAATGTCAACTTTATTAAGTAATATTTCAATACAAAGTGACAGCAAAAGTTTAAAGTCAATTTACAGGAAAGACAGAAGAGTCTGACTAAAATAAAGTTACATGAAAATCTGGAGAAGTAAAACAGAACTAATTAGAAAAAAAAATTTCTAATTACCAACAGACATAAATAGGAATCTAATGCTGCGCTTGATAAACCGAAAACGCTAACTACCATTAAAATTGAAGGAGAACTTACTGAAAATCTTGCATAAGACAAGACATTAATACCGCAAAGTATTACAGCAGATATTAAAACGCAAAGAATTTATCTGGATTAAGTAAGTTGTTTTGCAGAAATTATTTAAGGCTATCAAGATTTCACAGTGAAGATTTAAACACAGCATGATATAAGGTTAAATCTTACCTTTTGTAGCATCTCTTCCAAGACAGCTCGATTTTCAAGAGTTAACGGCTCCTCATCAGTAATAGCTTGCTTTTCCGAGGACCCTAGAATGTAACTGATACACTACAGTATAGATCACACACTTTTCACTCTGAAGACAAAAAAGTAAACATAGTACTCATCCATTGGGCTCAACGATTACGAGATTACGACTGAAAGACTAGCAAAGTGGAAGCATGACTCTAGTGACAACAAGAGAACCAAACCATGCATATTTGGTAATCTTGTGAACAAACTGTATGGTGGAATCAAAACAGTTTCAAGCACAGAACTACCAAGACACCACCATTTTATGAAGGTTAGAACTCCAAGAGACAAATCATTAATTCTGATGCTACAGGTTATGGTGAAAAATGATACAGAGACTAGTGTAACACTAGCTGAGAGAACCAGCCATTGCCCAGGAAAGTGCCATTTTATGGCCATGTTAGTGTTTCAGATAGTTTTACTGCCATGGAAATGGCTAAGTATCATAACTGTGGAAAGAGAAACAAACAAACAAAAACCACCTGTCCAGAGCAGGAAGGTGAACATCCACACAGATACAGCAGAATAAACTGGAACTTTACTAAAAGCAGAAACATTAAAACTAGCCCAGAGAGAAATAAAGGTAACCTATCACTGTTTACTAAAGTAATTCTTGCATAAAAGCACTCTGGTATGAGGACTCAATTCAAGATATATTTACTGAAGAATATTTTAAGACCACTTTTAAGTGCTATAAGCCAATTAAAACCAACGCAATACCACACCTTCATTTTTTAGACAGTTTTTGACTGTAAGACAGTTCAGTGAAAGCCTCAAGCACGCACTCAATTTTAAGATTCGCTTTATCTTAGAAAAAGCAGACTTGACCAGTACAGGTCAGACCTAACCCTAAGTTCTGCTTAAGCCCTACTGCCCACGTTCTCTGCTAATAATGTTTAGCTCTAATACCTTACAGCCAGGCCCATTTGGTACTACCTACGACTGCAGGTTCATTTTACATTGCCTACAGTAGAGCGCATATGTAGTCTCTCCTGATCAAACGAGAAGGAACTCTGCTGTGTTGCATACCCAGTGTTATTTTCCTAGGCGGTATGCAATGCCTTATACAAAAGGCAGCCCTTGTATTTTATTTTTTCCAAGATTTGTCTAATATTACACCAATGATGTTTCTCACACTTCAGCAGTAATACAGAAAACTGCTCTGGAACAAAGTGACAGAAACAGCTACCTCTAGACACACCACAAATATTAACAGGAGCATCCCTCAACATGATGCCTGGTGGGTGAAGTTTAGCTGGCATGCTCACCAATAAAAATTCTGCCTTTACCTTTCAATTGAGTTGACATTGAAACAGAACAAGTCTCTCTTGTAGTCAAGATGCTTTGGGGTGCATCTGTAGATGCTGCCGAGCGCCATTGAGCAGCCAGAGCAGAATAATGTTTCTATCATGCTGCAAATAAGACGTGTAACATTTATTCAGGAGAAACAAACAACAAAAAGAATCACTTCTCCTTACCCATATTCTAAAAAAATTTTTAAAATTCATCCGCTATGATTTCTGAACCCGGGCACCTCCTCCCACAGCACCAGCCGGGCCGTTTATCAGGTTTTTCCTGAACTCCTTCCCCGGGGCCCCTTGGCTCCCTCAGGAAAGAAAAGGAAAGGCCGAGCTGGGCCCCCACTCCACCCTGGGGAGAAGCAGCAACGGGGGTGGGGCCTCCGGGGCCGGGCCTCACCATCCGCACTCGCCGGGCCGCTTGGAGAACTGCCGCTCCTTGTCCACCGAGACGCTGGCGGCCGCACCTGCGCGGAGAGAAAGGGCGGGGGGAAAAGAGAAAGGTGACCAAGGGCCGCCACGCC